ATTATGGATTCAACGAGTCAGTCTACACCCACCTCTGCATGAATCAACTGCTAGGAGTGAGCTCTGAGAGGGGCTACTATGAAGTGGCGGGCGTTGTTAACGCTAGCCACCACTGACTTGCCGCCAATTCTGGGACAAAGCCACACGCGGCAGCCTTTTGTCAAGGCTTGCGAACCCGCAAAGATGACATGCGCTTTCATGTCAAGGGGTGCCAACTATGTGAGAAACTCAGAACGCAATATTATCTTGGCAGAACAAAGAATTAGTTCTAACGCCCATCACGTTTCCTTCCATTGATTGTACATTGTCATCCATCCAGCGTCGAGTTGACCTCCATCTTCTACTTACGATAATGCTGACTTTTATTCGGCAACAGAGCGCCTTTAGTACTACCTATAATGGGCACACTTCCTCACCGGTAGAGTGCTGTATCTATCTATCTTTTATTAAGTACAGCTCGTCATCTTTATAGACATACCCCATCGTAGTCCTCCGAGAGCCTAGGTAAAAACATCATCGACGCTGCAATCGCAGCCGGGTTTGCGACTAGGTCCGCCATACACATATGTTAGTGGTGGCAATATAAACCTAGCGACAATATTTTGATCATAATTGTTCCGACACACATTGCTCGTGGTTATATTACAGGCTATTTAAGCTATGGTATGAAGGCATACTTGAGACCAGAAGTTTTAAGGAAGAAATCGTCAAGCATTTAGGAATCTAACCTTGGCACAGTCATTATCTCGGTCGAATATTGAGCGGCTTCTGAATGCGCTAATGTTCCCTCGAAGAAGCTTCGGACAGCCGCCTTACATCTAGGGAAGTCAAAGAAGACCAGACAATCTCTTCTCCAGACCATGCAAGTGCCGTATCATTCTGGTAAATACCATTCCAGTGCCTGGTCTATCAAGTATAACAAAGTTGAGTTCTTTCTGCGCAATTGCAAAGATACTCGTCCCTAGCCAATCGGTATCCGTGTATTTGACAAACATTCGAGAATACACCCACCAAAATTTCCTATTATTCGTCAATTATATATAATATCTGGGAATGGAAAGGTCATGTCTGTTCTCCGCCATCACTTCCATATAGAAGGCGCAGGATTACGCCAGACATCCAATATAAGTTTCAAGTCTCCCCCAAGCCTCCAACTTAAAAACGACTACTATATGTGGGGACCAATGTGCACAAGATATGATTAGGCACTTAAAACTCTGAGATGTTCTTCTCAGTTGCGAGATACCCAAGTCCTGCTCTGAGAGAAGGGGTCTGGGCTCGTAATTATATACAAGGTTCTACCCATCAAGCAGTATACCCATAACGCCAACATCATCACATTATAGGATATTAGTAGGCCCTACCAAAAAAAAAAAGAATCAGAGATGATAATCACCAGCTAGGGTTACATATTCTTCTCAGATTCTTTGATATTGTTACTAGACACAACTGCGATGAGATCGAAGGTGCTTGAAAGGCTAGTAGGTAATCGACACGGGGTAAATTCATATACTATTCGATATCAACTTTCTCGTAGTTACTACACTGCAGCTAATTGCATGATATGTCATAGTTAGATACACAACTTTGATATCTCTGACGAGAGCCCGTCAGCTCAAAGATCATGTCTTCCTAAGACTTTGGACTATTTGAAAAGAAAGATCTAGTTGCACCACAAATATTCTCGAGCTCTTTACCAAGCTAGTCTTTATATATCAGTGGCCGGTGGTCTGCTACTACTTCCCAGCACTGATGTCGATTTGGTGCTGAGTTACATACACCGAAGATATTGTTCGAAGGCTAGCGAAAAACATGTCGTCGGAGTATATGTTGTGTTGAACAGTGTACTAAGATTCAGTGGAATGTACCGGCAAGAAGAGAATTACAGCTTTTTGATAGGAATTGTGCAGCTTCGTTCATCCGCATAATAATGTGTGGAGAACTGGCGTTAAACATGGCTACTAGGTGAGATCTTTTTGTATACCTGAATTATACACCGGAGTAGACTAGCAAGAGAAGTAATTGAAGCATCCCCGTTGGTTGGGGCAAGGGATAGTATTGTGTTTTTTTGTAGGAAGTGAATATACGACCAGTAAAAACAAACATAGTATATATATTTCAAAAGTGTCTAGTAGAAGGCTAAGTCAGGCTCCTTGTTTCTACCGAGAAGGAGTCTAGATATCCTATAGTATAATTTCGCACAAGAAACAGCTGCGCCCTAGTTGCACTTATCCCCTCAATAGCTAATGCAGCCATACTACTAAAGGAATGACACAACCGGCCCATACAGCATGACTTCCCTGACATCTACCCAGCAACAATCTGACAGATGAAATTCCCCTGCCTGTCAAATCCCACATGTTCACAGAATCATTCCACAGGATCGTATTGAACCGAATACCCCTAAAAATAGACACATTCCAAGACTCTATCTCTCTACAATAGTCAAAGCAACCGGGGCGCAACACAAAATATACAACATAGATATATCCCCTTTGTATATTAGCCACCCCTGACTAGTCGAACGATCGACATACCAAGATCACCAGAGATACCAGATACCTGGTGCTGCGACAGTGACGTGAACTTGGTATTCTGCAGAAGAGAGAGAGATGTGGGGTGGGGGTGACGCTTTCAGGAATGTGGCGAGCGTCGGGTTCGGCCAACGAGTGCTTGTTTTATATTTAGTAACGGCATGGTTGATTGAGTGATCTCAGACATATTATGTATGTTGTTTCAGTTCTATATACAGATAAGTGGACGTTGCTGTGGGGGTTGTTTTGGGAGGTTTTGTTAAGGAGTGTGGTTTTATTTTCGATCTTGATTGATGGGTCTTATTGATGATTCTGGGAGGCTTTAGTGGATGGCTTGGGAGAGAGGGGATGATGTTGTGGTTAGCTACTCGTATGTTTTCGAGGATATATATTTTGGTGTGAGGTTTAAAGTGGGGAAGATGATAGTGATAAAAACACGTGATATGTATTCGGTTTTCTTGAGCCTTAGATTGAAATTATGCATATGAGGCTAAAGTGGAATTCAAGGCTGTCAGCTCGAGGATACATTTTGACCACATACGATAGTCATTCCCGCTGTGTACTATTTATTTTTAACAGGGAATGGGCGATGGTTACCTCAGATACAAGCCAAGGGGGTTATGGTAGTCCAGTTCGAGTTCTTCATCCGCCACAGACTACTACAGTACGATATGCCTAAACATACTGAGTATAGTTTCCATAGCAAGAAAGAGCGGTATCCTCTATCCAGAATATGGATAGGCCGCTGTCAAAGCATGGAATACGGAGGTGCCTAACCGTCCGTTGTGTTTCACCATTGGTGACAGATGGACCCTGCATTAGTTGACTAGCACATGACAGGTTGTTTCTGATGTCATGTGAAGGAGACACACCTCAGCTCGCCCGTAAGATCTTACAGTAGTATGGTAAACTTCATCACATGTGATGAGACCAACGGCTGACTGCTAAGTAGGCAGGTACGTTGTTGTCCTTTGCTGGTGCCAGCAGAGCTTTTGCTGTGTTTGGATGTTTTCCCGGGCTATCGGCTGTTTTCTCCACCATCTAATCAACTCTCGGAAGTTACCACAAACAGGCTGGCAAGATATTGCTTGGCGAACCAAAACGTCATTCCATTCCCTCGACGAAGACTTGAAGAAGTTAAAATAGAAGCGTCGCCACGGATGGCTTCTCACAATAAGCCGAAAAGGGTCCTCTGTTCTGGAGAACAAACTAGATAGTTTAGATGATCGATAGATTGTCTTACCCCTCCCTACTGCAAGTAAGTGCTACTGCTAGCCTTGTGGTCCTTGGGGCACTGAGACCTTGTTGGTTTTCGCTTTCAGGGGGGCGCGCAAAGATGACCTAAAAAAAGGTAGACAAAAGAGGGGAAGTGCAGGAAGACAAGAAAGACAGAAATAAGAAAAAACCGATCTAGCTAGCGTAGGTACCAGTTAGTCTTTTTTTGCACAGGGGTGGGCAACGAATGATGAAGGGTTTAGTTGGCAAAGAATGGGCCAACTCAGGCACCGTCGACGCGTGATAGGCCAGATGGCCGGAATGGGGAAATTACCGGCGAACCTTAGCAACCACGCCAGCGACCATGCCAAGGCCGACTAGGCGTAAAGCGGAGTCTTGGACCACGCTTGAGTGGAGGGCCAAAGACGAGTTTAGTCCCCTTTTGGTCGAGGACGAGTAAACAGCTGACTAGACTAACTGCGAATAGTACTGGTAGTAAACTCTGCCCCAGGCCAACTGTCCACCCACCCCTGCCTGCACTCGGTCTGGACTGCGCCTAAGCGCCCTTGCGCCTCGTTCCTGTCGTGCCGGCGTCCACCGGCCTGCCTCTCTCCCTGCCCTGCCCGGCACTCCTCTCCTCCTCCCTCCGTCGTCTCCTCTTTCTCACCCTTCCTGCGCTCGCTCTCTTTTCTGCCCTTTCTTTCCCTTTGTTCCTTTTCTTCCATTCTCCCAGGCGACAACCCCCATACCAACCCCTCCCCTCATTCTTCCTCCTTCCTCCACCCCCGTCACGTTCTCTTTTCCCTAAGCAGGTGTCGGCTTCACTCTTTCAGCTGCTCACCTTGCTGTCCGTTCGTTCGCTATAACCAACCTGGTCGATTTCCATCACCCCAGTTGAAGTCAACCTCCCCACACTCGCCTTGACTACTTGATCCTACCGACCTGATACATTCCCTCCTTTTGTCCAACGATCCCGTCTCCAACCGGTCTTTCCATACGGAAAAGAAAGAAAGCAGATCCGACAATCTGATTCTATCGCCACGAGACCCTTGTTGAGACATATTGTAAGTGACTGTCGACGACAGGCCGCTGTGCTGTGTGCCATATCCAGAATTGACCCGGGTATCGGAGGAAATAGTACAACTTCAATTCTTGAAATAACTTCGCGTATACCGAAAAGCACGCGGTTACTATCCAAACTCTTTCATTCGGATTGCATCCGAAGACATATCAAACATAAAAAATCCAACCATGAAAATCATGTTCAACCCTATTTCGAAGCTTGTTCGGCGCGGTGATTCTGGAAGCAACGATGGTCTCTCTCCCTACATGGTCGATCTCCTGATTTCCCTGCTGGTTCTCATTCTGCTCGGTCTCGCCCTGGTCGGTGCTCTTCTTGTCTTGCGCCGCAAGCGCCTGAACCGCGAACAATCCGAACTTCCTGTACACAACGGGCAATGCGTGCCCAACCACCGTCGATTCACCGTCTCTGCTTCGCCGAACGCCAAGACAGAGTCCGTTCTGGTTTATGACGAGAAGCGCAGTCTCATTGAGAATTCGTCGAGTCCCCCGCCCAGTCCGGTTCCCGAAATTCGCATCACGTTCCCGGAGGAGGAGGACGAATCCGGCAAGCGCAAGTCGGGTCGAGTTGTGGTTGTGAGAATCACCGACGCAGGTGGAGTGGGCTTGGAGCCTTGCAACGAGGAACTTCCGCCGTATCAGTCCAGCGATGCGGAGCGATTCCAGTCGTTGGATATCGAGCGCATGGGTGGGCTCAAAGAAAAGGAAGCCACCAATAGATGGTCTTAGAAGGATCGAATTTCTGAACGACAAACCGTCATCTGCTCATTCTTCCCATCGACTGATACCCCCTCGAATGACCGACGTCGCTTGTTTGTCGCACCTGGACGAGATTCGAAAAGCATGACGATATCCCGGCGAAGATTTGCCTCGTTTCCATCTCCGTATTTAGACCGCTCTGCTTCATATTACCTTCGCGACTTGCACATACGCAAATACTCCGTCCTGTTTAGCCACCACGCTCGCCGTTTGACCCTGGGTTTCAGTCTCGACCAAACTTCAAGCGCGTCAAGTTATAAACTGACCGATCTGTGCTTACTGGCCCGACCTCTGTACAGCAAGGCTTGCTGGTTTTCCTTGATATTTTGTGCTTTATTCTCCTTGATAAGGCGTTCATTTCTTGTGCTTGGCCACTTTGGTTCTCTTCACCCTGCCACGTCACTAGGGTTGAAGAGACGTTACGCATTGGTTTGGTTGAAGTTTTCATTCTCCTTTGCATTCTTACTTGCTTCTTATCTTACCCTTCTCTTCTCCCACGCTCGCCCTCTACAAGTCTCGGGTTTGCGTTCAGGGGTGTCTTACAGCTGGATAATGTATGTACCTAGTCTGACTCTGCATTGGATGGCCGCCTCACGAGGTGTGAGCCCCAATGAATGCGTTTATTTGATAAATACATGAACTCTTGATCAGCGACTTGACGAATTTCAATTATATTGGACTGGTGTCTACCCGTCCACGTGACATAAGCTCTGACCTAGGAGTGACATTTGGTTCAGCCGTGCTTACAAGAGAAGATGTACAATGAAATCAGTTTAGCACCTTTACTCAAAGGCAAACTGGTCTAGAAGCCGTTCGCACCATTAATGGTCCTGGCAAACAAGGAGAGAACCCCTTTGTCTTCCAGCCGAATCTATTTGCCCTTAGGAGTGGCAAACAAAGCCTGAAAGGGTCTCTTGAAACATTCCACCAAAGAACAGGGTTCGCTCGCCGTGGGACTGGAATCAGGGGCGGGAATTGAAGCTAAAAGTTACTTTATACCAAGTTAGTCTTGGCAAGCTATTTCTCATTCAAGAAAAATAGATCATCGAATGTATTAAGACACATTGATGTTAGCCTTGCCCTGTACCTTCGCGGATACGAAAAGATTATATTCGTAGAGGTAAAGATGTAGTGGGTTACTCTTATGACAATATGATAGGGTTTTGGACTTGAGTCATTAATTATGCAGCTGAGTAGTATTAAGTTTCTGATGCAGGTTGTACAAAGCGATTGTATTGGATTTGATCTTGTTCGTTATCTCCCTATTGTATTGAGCCAGCACGTGGATACTAGTTATGTTGGGCATAAAAGCTTATATAAGTGGCTCGATATCGATCAACTTTTATAGTTAGTTGGTTATTCTACTCTTCATCATGTATACCATCTCACTTCAGTCAACCCAAGCTGTTGATAGCCAGAGACCCCAATATCCGTGGGAATATCATTGGCTATTGCCAGATAAGACAAGGAGTTTACCGAGCATCCCAACATTCGCCTCATTCACCATTTGAAGCCTCCGCCATTTGCTATAATCAGGCAGAGGAGAGCGCAGATAATATCTACTTCATGGAAATTACCTTATGATAGAAGTCGAAACAAGACGGATTCTACCATAATGATGTGCCATCCAATGAAAGTGCATGCTTGTTCTTCCTTTGTCTCTTGCTATGGTAAGTAGGTTCAGATGTCACCGCGTGATATGCTTTCAATGGCGGTGATGTGGTATGCTCTCTTCGACATCGGAGATTGTTAGGAAGATAGCTTGAGCACGAATAGATAGAGAGGTACCTCCCTTGGTGTAGTGAAAGTCACAAGATACTGATGACTCTATGGTTTCAGGTACCTCGGGTTCGACCACCGCACAGAAATATAGAGGATGGAGAGTTTGCTGAAAGCGGATTGGACTTTGAGACATGATGCTTTGACTGAAAGAGCAGAGAGGAAAGCCCTTCAATGACAGTCGGATTCACGAGATGCACGAGGTACAACAACAAAGATGATGGATACAATACAGTGTGAAGACAAGTACCTCAACGGCTGTGTCCGTCTCGTTTGATTCGCAAGAGATATCTTCTTCAAGACACCAGCAGGTCACAAGGTCATTACCAAGAGGTCTCGATCGGCTATACTCTGTGACCAGATGGATGAGACCGAGAAACGTATTCTCCAAGATCAACAGAAACAGCACTGATGATACAATCTTAACCTATAAAGATGCCCGTTACATCCACGGAATGATTGGAGAAAAAGAGATCTACCACTCAACCCCTCTCAATCCATCTCATCGCCTCTCATCTCATCTTGTCTCACTTCAGTCTACTCCCTTGCACTATGGCTACTCCAGCTTCTACTCCAGCTTCTACTCCAGCTTCTGCTCCAGCTTCTGCTTCGATGCTTACTTCTCTTAGGGCGGGTTTGGCCATAGCTTTAGACACAGCTCGAGCTCTAGTTCCTGCCCCGGCTTTGCCACCAGATTTGTCTTTCAGTTTCCTCAACCCTGCCAAATTCCCTGCATACCCGAGTCCCGAGTTGAGACGATACGTGGCATGGCTGCTGAGGGAGGCCGAGGTACCTGCCTTTCTATGGGGGCCCGAGATAACCCGGATATACGGAAGCAAGAACAAATTCCGAGTAAGTAATCTTGAAAAAATTTCCTATATCCCTTCACACACTGTACCACCACTTTCAGCTCAGCTGGCTAATGTAATAACCTGCACAGTACCACCTCTGGGCAGTAAAGGATGAGGAAATGGAGAAGGCCGTGCAAGTGCTCGACAAGGCTGGATTCCCACCCTGCAAGAATGGCCTTCGTTGTACGGTCTTTGACCCTCAGTACACTAAACTCCCATTTCCCGACCATCACTACCACACAGACCACAATTATGAACAAGATAGTGTCACTAGCGGTGTCTATTTGTACCGGAAGTCCCGACTATTCCCATCCCTCCCTGATCCGCCGCTTCACGACCTGGAGCCTAATGACAGATACTATATGCTCAGTTCCGACGAACGGTTCCCAGACTGGAATATTGATGCTAGTGAGCGCTCGTCTGAGCAAAAGTACCCTGTTATCGTTCCTAAGCCTGCCAGATATCTGGAGGCCATTTGTCTGCTGGCTGTCCGTTATATTGAAGGGCAGCATTCGAGTATATTTTGGAACGCGGAAATCTATCGCATGATGAATCTCCTGGGCGATAGGTTTGTCGATGTATTACAATTGAGCGACCTTGACGAACCATGGTATGAATATTGCAGGCGAAACGTTGATCGCAGTCATAGCGACCGCGTGGGTGACTGGCGAGGTCGCAAGTACCAGGTCATGATCTATGCTGATCTGAAGGAAAAGGGCCAGCTTCAACCACCTGAGACAAAGGAAATTCTACAAACTAGAGGGTTGAGCTCGGCAATTGCAGAGGCTAGGGGTTTGTTTCCGGATGCACTACTCACGTGAGAATCAGCTCGCTTCACGCATCCTATCGCTCTATATCAATCTTTGATTGCTATCCTTCACTCATACACGCCCATTCTCTTGCTATCTCCTTTTGCATATATCATTACACTCATTAATAGTCTGTATGCTACTTCTAAGTGCTACCGAAATCCAGGTTGTAACCCTTTGACAATGGAAGTATGACACCGTGTGCATAGCATACATCGAAAGCATGCATCTCCACCACTTTTCTCCAAGTTTCTTTAGTAACAGCAAAACAAATAGGTACATAGAGACAAAAGAACCGAAATGTAAGCAGAAATCTCAGCAAAAAGACAAGCAGACGGTAGACACAGGCAGGGCAAGAATTAGATTAATGTAAGCAATAAACAGAGATAGATCAAACAAACAAAGAAACTTTTTCTTCTGGTTTTTAAATAAGAAAAGCCAACAGACACATTAAACAGCAGACAGTGAACAAAACAGACACAACAACAACAGAGAACACAAGCGAGCGACTGAAGCCCCTGCGGGATTGTGTTTTATCGAAGACAACCTCCCAATCGAATTTCGGGACTTTCCCAAAATTGGCAAGATATTCATTTGAATCATTCAGAATCTTCAATTGATCAGACGTCAGACGATGCCGAGAAGTGTAATTGTGATCGACATTGATAAGTTCTTTAAGTTTGACCACGTCGGCGGCATCTTTCTCATTCTGCTCCTGGGATCTCATGCCGCAAGTATAGGCCTTGCAGACCATGAGGTCCAGTTTATCAATGAGCGGAAGCCTGGTGTGATGAAACTGCTGAAGGGGCTGGAAGCCTGTGGGGACATACGGCAACTATATAAATGAGAGAAGCGAATATGTCTATCAGTACCGTATTTGCCCCATTGTAGAGATCCGCCTGAGGATCGAAAGGAGAGGACTTCTAACCTGGAAAATTGCTTACCTCATTTGTCGGAATTATGCTTATACGGGGACGGCCGAGAGCCATATTCCAGTATAGCAAAGTTGTCGGCCGCTCGAAACCGTTGATCTGGGCCAGTTTTGCTTTGATCTTGCGGGCCAACTTGGGGGGATGAATTGCGATTTCCAAAGTCTGCGATACTTGGTCAGCATATATCCTGTGTAGCCCTTACTAGTATTCTGCTTGCCTCTGTTTCTTCTTCGCGGATGTAGCAGTGGACTGCCAGGTCTCCTACGATGAGGCATTGTAGCTCGTCGAAGTCATCAATTGCTTGCAGGACTGGATCAGTCATAAGTAATGTAATGAACTGCATGAACATATTAATAGTAATGTCATTAGTAGGCTGAAGGAACGAAACAGTTGCCTTAAAGATAAAATGTGAGATGAATTCCACGATGATTTCAACGAAAGGATGCATTGCAGATGATAGGGAGTTTGTTGTGTAGATGAGAATACTTCTTGGTAAAAGGACTGTGCGTATGAACAAGTGTGTAGGAGAAATGATACCTAGAGAGCACAGCTTATGAACGGGCAGTTGGGCTGGATCGATGTTTTATATCAACAAAGTG